TTATTATTTTAAATAAATTTCATTTCTTATCTTGTTCCAAATAATTGTAAGAAAAATTATTTAAAAACTGAAGGAGAGGAAATTTTAAAAATTAATTTCGATGCTTTTGAATTACGTTGCACTAAAATATATGTGATTGAACTGTATCAAGCTGTTTATATTACGCGTCTAACCGGTTTAAATTTTCTTTAAAACAAATTCATTTATAAAAATTGTTTTCCATATAAATGATAAAAAACATTCATTACAAGTTTTCCAATTATATGCTTTATTATTGAATTTTCCAAGAATACATATTTACAGTAATTTGTTCACGATAATTCTCTTTTCACAGATAGTCAGTATAAGTACAGTTCTTCACAACCATTTAGCATTTTTACATGCAGCGTTTAGTCTCACTCAAAAGGAACTCCGTTGTATGGATCAACGAATGTTACTTTATATCACTATATCATCACAGAAATAGGACGTTTTGCCACCAGAGGGTGTTAAAAATCACTCGAGACCGAATCCTTCTGCGTTGGAGATGGCGATAGTAAGTTTTTCACGCAGAATATCTCGGTTCTTGTAACGGGGCAAAACCAACTGGTTGAAGCAAGTATGGGAAATGGGTAACCTATAAATAAAATAACATAAGGCTTTAGTACACTCATAAGTAAAAATATTTATAATTTCTAATGTATACTCAGTATTGGACATTTATATGCATGCACAAAATAAAATTATAATTGAAACAGTATGCAATTTAAATTGCAAAGATCAATACAATTTCTAAGATAAAAAGCATAAAAGAGTAAAAAAAAAAAAAAAAAATGATCAATTCGATTCAGATATGCGAAGTGATCTTTGGAATAATATTAGTTGTTCTGATTTTCTTTTTGATATTGCTATGTTTTGTGTCTATGGATTGCGAGCGTAAAGACGATCGTGGGGATCTGACTGAAGCTCTTCGCGTAATGGCGGAATATTCCAACAAATTTTCCCCCTTATTTCAATCACGCTCATCGATGGAGATTGATTCTCCTACGGAATGCGCCATGCAGGCAACTGTCAATGATGTCCCCTTGGAGGCTTCCACCTCTCAAGAAACTCCTGCTCCTGTTCTCACAGAAGCGGACATCTGTTTGAAAATCACTGCTGCTAAGCAACACCTTCAAGAACGCCGGAAACTCTATGAACTGGCCACTCAAGCTATTACAAAGCAGCAGATCCTTATGGATGCTGGTCTTGTTACGGCAAAGACACTGAAGGCCTCCGCTGCCACCGTGAAGAAGGCTGAAGAAGCTGTTATCGCCGCTGAGGACCAGGTAAGTGGGCTTGGTCTTTGTCCAATTGTCAACTGCGCGCGTCATAGTGCTGCTAAAGTAAACTTCCCAAACAAAAAATCTAAGAGGCCTGCTCCCTCTGCAAATTCTGAAGATGGGTTTATTAAACCCGCTAAGAAGCATACCGTCAAAAATTCTGCCGCTAAAGCGAATGCTCCTACTGTTGGACTTGCAAATAAATATGCCAACTTAGCTGTTGACTCAAGTGACAATGACGAACCTTTAGTGCCACAGGAGCCGAAATTCCCACCTATTATGGTGAAATACTCGGACAATTTAAAAGGACTTATTGCTGAAATCAGCAAAAAATTTAATGAGGAGGTGCGCATTAAACTGGCCGGCGAACACCTAAAGATTTTTCCGAATAACTCGGATAATCATCGTTTAATTACAAACTTCTTGCGAAACTCCCAGACGGTGTACTACGTCATAACACCAAAGTATCTGAGACCGCTCAAAGCCGTCCTGAAAGGCCTCCCGGTAACTTACACGACTGACAAAATTGCTGCTGGATTGACCGAACTTGGTCTAAAGATTGATGAGGTCCGCCAATTAACCAACTTAAAACTAAGGCATTGATCCCTGTCTGGCAGTTGGTATATAAGAAATCTGAAGACAATTCCAAAATTTTTGAAGTCGACCGTTTGCTCCACTTCTCGGTGCGAGTTGAGAAATTTAACCGCAAGCCTGGTGCTTCGCAATATTTCCAATGTAATCTCTTTCATCACTCCGCTAAAAACTGCCATTATAAAAAAAGATGCCTTAAATGCGGGGGCGAACATTACCTAAAGGACTGTACAATCCAGGAAAGGCTTGAGAATCCTCAATGTATCAATTGCCACCAGATGGGGCACCTTGCCGCATGGCGAGGTTGCCCGAAGTTTCCGAAGCCCCGCCTTCCGCCCAATCGCATTGCGGCACCGCCCAGGAGCACGTTCGTCAGCCGTACGCCCGGTGTCTCTTATGTAAGTTTCTTGCATGGGCCGCCGCCGGCTACTCCATCCGTGATTCCGGAACGTCCAAATATCTGGGATAATGTTGATCCTGACAAGGCCGCTAAAACTGCCTATGTATTCCAAGAAGTGTCCAGCATCCTCGATATGTTAGGCGACATTGACAATTTCTATAATCAACTGAAAAGCGCAAAATCTCCCGTGGAAAAATTCCAAATCATCGCAAAATGCTTCAATTTCGCTGTTTAATCTTCTCTTGTGTTTTTATTTACCATTGTTTACAATGCTTCTTTTTACTTCTAATTGGACATGACCATTGCCCACTGCCTTTTCTTGTATATAATGTCTTGTTTTTATTAATGACTCTTATAGTACCAGATTTGGAGTAAAGGCCGCATATGGCCAAGGTACTCTGCATCCTGAACGATGATGATGATCAATTCGATTCAATCATGAAATATTTTAATGAAATAAAATCGAATTTTAAAATACTAATTTAATGAACATGCTGGGTTGGAAATACAACATGCTGTCAATCAGACTATTTTTACTATTAGAGAGTTTCTGCATAGCGTTTTTTTCGTCACGTTTGCGCTTTACCGTTCAAATTATTGCCACTACAGAAACCGCTTTGTGATTAAATTACATTATCTATCCTTATGGCAAAGATTAATCATTAGTAATGATAAATAAAGTTCGTACTCTTAAAATGCCTTTCGTATTATTTTTTATTAAATTTATAAATTGTTTTGATAATTTAATTATCTGTAAGAAATGCATCACATTTCCTTCGCCGCAGTAAACATTTGAGATTTCTACAGCGATCTGTAATCGAATTGCCATGGAGTCTTCTAATGACTGGAACAAATGCAGACAGATGATTTAAACCCCAGTTCTCTTTCACATTAGCTGCATATGTTACGTATGAGGACTGTATCAATCTATTTGATTTATTTTTCTTGAGTTTGTTGTTTATATTCGCTTACTGATTGTTTTACCTTGCAATATCCAATTACAAATTACTATTATTTAGAGCATCGTTTGAGAACAAATGTTTTTGAAAATCAATCCCTCTTTGGTGTGTGTTTTTTTTTTTTTTTTTTTTTCCCAACTTGTCCTACATGATTAAATAAACGAATAGTTTAAAAAAACACGCTTTTAGAGTTAATCAATCTAAAAAGTAAAAAATATCAATTGTTATAATTTTTCACTAGTTTCATTCCGAAATGCAGAGTTAGTTTTAAAATGTCACACAAAGCACCCCACGCTTTTAGAACAGTGACATTCATTTTCTCCTCAGTCATTTTATTATGTTAACAATTATTTTTTACTTTTTAGATTGATTAACTCTAAAAGCGTGTTTTTTAGTTTTTTTAAACTATAATATTTAAATGAGGTCCCGGTACGGAGGAGTGGAACTATAGTTCTTACAGTAATGTAATTGTGAGTAAAACAAAGGCTAAATGCGAATAGTTCGTTGTACCACCAAGGTTTGAATGTCTTTACTGAATATTTTCATTCTACATGGGCTAAATTGCTCTGCATAAGTTAAAATAAAATCTCTAATCCTGGCGATCTTAATCATGATGAGATAATAAACTTATTAAAATACTTTAGTGTCGTCGGTCCTTGATAGGTCTACAACGTTTAAATTAAATCTGATCGCTTAAAGTAAGGCAAAATTGAGCCCAAAGAGTCAGTTACAAACAAACAAACAAACAAACATACAGGTGAAACTAATATAAAAGCGTATTGAAAAGAATCAACTGTTTTCTTTCTGAAAGATGTCTGTAAATGTTTCTTTGCAGCTTAAATAGTGTATATGAGGAGAAACAGATCTCCAGGGGAAAAAACCAGTTGCATACATACAAACATACAGGTGAAACTAATAAAAGCGTATTAAAAAAAAAAACAACTCTAATGTAGTTAGTGACGTTAAGTAGTTTCGAAAACTGCGTGAATGAAAGCAACCTGTTCCTGGGTGTACTCACATGTCTGTGTTGTGATTGAGGGCGGAGATCTTGAAGGTCATCTCTCCCATCCCCCCGACAGGTACACGGTCGCTTCCCGTCGTGAATCTCAGGAACTGTTTCTGCAAATCGGAACTGTAGCTCTTTAAGATTTCCCAAAATTCTCTGCAAAAATAAATAAAAAGATTAAGAAAATCAAAAAAGTGAACGCTATTTTTAAACTAAACTTAAACGTTTTGTCATCAATAAATAAGAAAATACAGAATGGAATATTTCTTTCGACCTTGTGTCCCTCGTCAGAGTAGTTTAGGGCTTGTTTATCTATTATATTAAATATATCAATTAAATAAAATTTGCAATATTAAAGCAATATTACTCATTAAACTAGTAATTGAAAATTTTTAAGGGATGAAAGAGTGTTAAAAACATTCCATTTACTCCTATATACATAAATGAAAGCAGAAACTAGCTCTGAACTCGGTAGTTATTTTCACTTCAAGCCACCCAATAAACCTGAGGATTCAGAATAGTAAGTAATTTCTCCGAAGGGGAATTTGTCGACGCGATTTCTTTAAGCCTGTTTCCTACCACATATTAAGAGTACTCTTTTCAGAACTTCACCCGAAAAACTATGAGAAGATCATTTTTCTTACTGGCTGACATTTTGCGACCTGAAATACTTAGTATTAGATAATAATCCAGCTTTAAACCTAGAGCAGCATAGTTTACGTTTGATTCAAGTTGCTCAATGGGGCCTGATGGCCGAGTGTTTAGCGCTCGGTGCCACAGGTTTCGGGCTCGAATCCCGAAATGGTGCCATGGAAGTTTGTAGGGGTTCGGAATCCCCTTTAAGCCGTAGGTCCCGGTCTCATATTACTGTAGAGCGTCACAGAGCACAGTCAGACTTCTCACCCACCTCATTCCAAAACTGTATAGGGGCAATTCAGCTCTATGCACAGCGGTGTGGTGTAATAGTAGTAGTCGCTCAATAGAGGTCTGAGTGTTGAGTGGCTAGCGCTCTGGCGCTCGATACCACAGGTTTCGGGTTCCAGTCCCAACGGTATCATGGATGTTGTAGTTGTTCGGAATTCACTCTAAGCCCAGTCCGGTCTCGGTCTCATATGACATGTCACGTAGCGTTATAGAGCCCAGAGACTTCTTACCCACATCATACCTAAACTGTAAAGGGGCAACTCAGCTCTAGGCACAGTGATGTAGTAATAGTTGATCAGTGCGTTAAGATTTAATTTTATTAGACTGGCACTAATCTTTGAAAATGAAGAAATCATATCTTCACTATTTTTTTCCTTTTACACTTCTGGAAGCATCTATATAAGCAGAAATACAATGAAGCGTATTTTAAAATTTCGAAAGAAAAAATAATTGCACTTGCTTGATAATGGGCTCTTCTTCGTGAAATCCATCGTAGACTGTGACCTTGCGCAGCTCGTCCATGTCCAAGGTCGGACAGCCACACACCAGCATCTCTACCTCCTCAGGACGGAGCATCTGCAATAGTACTGAAGATTACAACAAACTATTTATGTTCATTATATGAGGAGTATGAGAATTATCGGGTTGAGAGATAGAATGAAAAGTCTATACTCATTTCATGAATTCAAATATGAGGTACTTGACACGTATATGCAAGTATACCACGTATATATCTATACGCTGTATAGATGTACGTTTTACAATCCTACACTTACCAATACATGACAGGAAGTCTTGCACCGATTGCACGAGAAGCCATCGAAATTAATTAACGAAAGTTTCAGTTAAATTAATTAAGTTTAGTTTGTTACTATCTAAAGCAAAATAAACGAGTTTGAAATAACATTTTCACTAAAGAGTTGATTGAATGTAAATACGAAATTTTAATGAAGAACTGACCACAATACGTTCGGAAGCTGTCGTTAATTCAAGTTCAAAACTCGAATAACGAATCATTCATTGTCATAATTTATTGAATTCAGTATTAAGCATTCATTGCCATAATTAGTCGAATTCAGATTTAGACAATTGTCAGAATTATCATCATTCACTGAAGCACTCGATTTAACAAATGTTCCAAGGATTGAATTTCCCTGCTTTACTGTTTGAATCCACATATTGAATTTAAATTTAACAATATTATAAGAGGACTGAACTTATTTTTTGATTGTCATTTGATATTTATTCTATTCCGCTGATACTTTTCCAATTTAGTTATTTAATGGCTGTGGCCAAAGTTCTTCTTTAACCTCAAAATAGTAGAAATATACTTTTGGCTTGTTTGGTTCTCTTCTTTATTATGAACAAAAACGGATGTGCAAAAAATAAAATTACTCTGATATCCAAATGTAACATAGAAAAAGAACGAAAGGAGAGGCAAACTCTCGATACTTATTTTCTTTGCCAAACCACCCATATAACGCGTTCTAATGAGATTCAGACCGTTTTCGGTAAGAAGAGGAAGCATGTATATTTTCACAGAGGAATAATTTCTTCGAATGTAAACGTATTGATGTTTAAATTTTTAGATGTGATCTTCTAAAGCTGAATTCCCATAAGATACCGAGATCGCATGTCACAACTACATCAGCCAATCAGAAACCTGCTCAGACATCTGATTGGCTGACATTCAGCTTTAGGCTCTGACAGGTTAAAATCATATTAATTCTAGTACTTACAATCAAAGCATTGGAGGCACAGACACTGTGAAAGCCAAGGTAGAAGGCTTTAAAGGGCTGGTATATAGCCTTGTTGAGAATAAGCTCCGTGTACAACTGTACATACTCTGTAAGATTAACAAATAGTTAGCTATCTCTCATGAATACCGCAATTATAGAAATCCTAGTATGGATTATTAATGATATTAAATATTTCAATGCATATTTGAATACTTATATCCAATGGCATGTCTAAAATCTGCTAATATTACGCATTTTATGTTAGAAGAACATGCGAGCTTGTATAGAATTTTGTTCTATTTTTCTATTGAGAACTGAATCTGTTCCAAACAAGCCTTTTAATTTATACAGCAGATATTCTGCTTAATAAGGAATAAGAAATTTGTATTGAATATTTAGTTAATTGGATAAATGCAATGGCATGTAAAGTACCATTGCAATAACAATGTTATCACTAGGCCACGAATCAGGCTTACATATAATTAAGTGATTTATAATTATTACTTGGGATTTTTATAGTTATTACTTATTGTTTGTTTCATGGTACAATTTCATGGTAAACTTTATCTAAACATCATTGTAAGGAAGTGTAAAGGAAACCTCATTATTAGAAAGTTTACAAAGCATCATTATTATGAAGTTTACAATACAACATTATTAAGAAGTTTACAAAGCATCCTTAAGAAGTTTATAAAGCATCATTAAAAAGTTTATAAAGCATCATTATTATGAAGTTTACAATACAACATTATTAAGAAGTTTACAAAGCATCATTATTATGAAGTTTACAATACAACATTATTAAGAAGTTTACAAAGCATCATTAAGAAGTTTACAAAGCATCATTAAGAAGTTTATAAAGCATCATTAAGAAGTTTACAAAGCATCATTAAGAAGTTTACAAAGCATCATTAAAAAGTTTATAAAGCATCATTAAAAAGTTTATAAAGCATCATTATTATGAAGTTTACAATACAACATTATTAAGAAGTTTACAAAGCATCATTAAGAAGTTTACAAAGCATCATTAAGAATTTTACAAAGCATCATTAAAAAGTTTATAAAGCATCATTAAAAAGTTTATAAAGCATCATTATTATGAAGTTTACAATACAACATTAAGAAGTTTACAAAGCATCATTAAGAAGTTTACAAAGCATCATTAAGAAGTTTACAAAGCATCATTAAGAAGTTTATAAAGCATCTTTAAGAAGTTTATAAAGCATCATTAAGAAGTTTATAAAGCATCATTAATAGAAAGTTAGTGAGAACTCACCCTGCCTGTTTTCATTGGTGACAGGCATGTTTTCGCCTTCCGTCTTCAAGACATGCGTCTTGACGCCGCCAAATTCTTCAACGGACACCTACAAAAATTCGAATTTATTTTATTCTTTTTATTTATTTATCTAACTATAGATTCAAATTTGGCTTTCTAGGAATTAGAAATTAGATAGATTGTCTCTTGATGTGTTTCATTGTTATATGTTTATATCAGTTAAGCTGCTAAATTCAACAGCAACTTACTTGCAACTGTCACATAACAAACTCAATCAAACCATTTTCAATAACAATTTCATGAGAAATTATGAACTTATGAAAGTCGTTCATACATTTTCTTGAAGAAACCATGATCAACAGATCCATAAAAATTTGTTTAAATAATTTCTGTATCACTCCAAATGAAGAGATTAATAACATAAACAACCTTAATAATAACTAATAATAAACTAATAACTAATAAACAATTTTAACTCTAAATAATATAAATATATATATAACCGTGGTTCCACCTACGCAACCATGTTTCCTCTTACTCATTGTAAAAACGTCTCTCACGGCGTACAGAAGAAATCGTCAGTAGGCAACCAGACTCTCAGCCAAGAAGACGTACTGCAAAACAGGCGCCGCCGTTAGTTACGAGCGTTCATGCCAGAGCTGGAAGTGGAATCCTTCCCCATCTGTATAATTAGCTGCTACTTCAGAGACGTTTAGTTTATAATATCTCACTCCGAGAGAAGATCTAGTTAGCACCATCCTGTACATAAATTGGCTTACAGACTCTCATCCAGAGAGGAAGTATATTTCGCTATCTAGCGTGTACTTGAGTAGCTTTATTTACAGCTTAAATGGAATCCTTCCACTTAAATATAAGTATATGTCTTTAAAGGTGTTACCTGTTGTATATTAATCTTTGCAGTGTGTCGTGCTCGTGAGCCTGTAATTAAAGTGGCGAGTTTTTCAAATGTGTGTTCTTGTGACTTGACCACACCCAGATCGAGTTGCACAAACAAAAGACGATACATCTACTACAAACTGACGTCCAACGTGGAGCCTCCCGTACTTGAACACTACACATAATAGATTAAGAAGAATTGATAGATTAAGATTTCAGCAATTACCTGAAAATTCATGCAGAAGTCCTCCTCGACATTTCCTTCGTAAGAGAGAAGTTCTCGAAGTCCGACAGCTACATCCTGAAATTTCAATACCAAATCAAACGGTAGTTTATATAATTTTCCTTTAAGTTAAATCCTATATTAACTGTGGAAGATTAAATTAAAATGTATTTATTTCAAAACGTAAATTGTTCACAAAATACTTTTTTTTCTACTGTATAAGGAAAATTATAATCCTAGAATAATCCCCCATGAAAGAAATGAAGGAGTTTTAGAGATAGCAGCTTAGCATTTCAGCTGAACATTGTATTTCGAATAGATTGAACTTTAGAAAATTGTCACCCGATTGTCGGTGCATGACTGCTATAAATATTGTCATAATCATCATTGAGTTCCTTGTTTCTGAAAGCAATGACTGAAATGCACATCCTGATGTGCATTGCAGTCACACGCGCATACGAATCTGAGCTACCCCATATGCTAACTGTTGAAATTATAACTTTTGAAAACCTGAGGTCATTGTTTTTCACTTATGTATATCAGAAACAGCCAGCTAAGAGTGTAAAAAAGAAGAATCATTTCCTTTTGGAAGAATTTTTAGGGGAAATTGCTCCACATTTGTTTTCATATGAGAGGAAAACATCAGATAAATTCACTCCTGGAAGACTGACAGTCAATGTAAGAAGAATTTATACATGTTCCCAATCACCATCAACTATTATGCTTCTGAAAGGAATGATTGCGATGAACTCCACAATGGATTTGAACTTCGACCCTTTTGAACTCTA